TGTACCAGGGTTGATTATTTTTTGTTATTACAGGGATGTTATCTTAACAACAATATAAAGTCCTGAGTATGAATAAAATTATCCGTCGTTAGTTATTTCCACATAAATAAGTAAACAATTTTAGACACGGAACATACCTTTGGAACTGAAGGAATCAAACAGCATAAAACTATCGACAGGGTTCATTGAATAGTTATCCTTGACCTCATTCTTTCTTTCTGCATGATCATCTTCTGGAAGACATTTTCACTGATAAATATAGTAAATGTATACCGCAAAAACAACGATTGCAGGGATAACAAAAGCTAATTCCTGTTCTTGGATTCATTTTCTTCTGACAGAGGATTAATAACGTAACAAACAATGGCACCTGTTATGTATTCTACCTTGTTGTATATAGATATATAGATATATTTTCATTATAATGTTGATAGGTCTTATAAACAATTCGTACGTGTTGGTTTGGATATGCAGAATAGACAGGGTGCGTCCTACTGGATGTTGTATGAGACGACAATGGAAATTCACCTCACTCACCCGGTGCGTCTAGTGATGATGGGACAAGTCATAAGGTCTTTGACTTTTTACAAGTGTGCAGTTTGTATCAATAATTCGACTTTGTTTTTTCATACATACATACATACATACATACATACATACATACATACATACATACATACATACATACATACATACATACATACATACATACATACATACATACATACATACATACATACATACATACATACATACATACTCTCTGCATATATACATAATTACTAGTAATCATACTTTCCACAACTGGTCGATATCCGAGAAGTTTCATAACATCGAGAGTTCCATGGAATTCCTAGAAACACATAAAGATCCTGATTATTAATGGTGTAAAAGACATGAATAAGTGTGTGTGTGTGTGTTTAACGTAGCTTTAACAATTTGAATCATATCGCTACGACATCTATAGTTTGGTAGTTTGTAGTGTTGTCTAGCAATGGGGCATCATGCCGCAGACATGTTGCATTATGTCCCACCCAGTCACATTATCCTGACACCAGGCCGACCAACCCTAATGCTAACTTCTTAATGCTGAGAACCAAGCGAAGCAGCTGCTAGTATCATTTTTATAAGCCTTTGGCATGATTCAGCCTCTATTCGAACCCGAGACTTCACGCATCCAAAGCGATCGCTCTAATCACTCAACCCACATGAGCGGTCATTAATAACTTTAAACAATATTCAACGTTACAGCATTTGTATCCTATTCAAGTACTCATACACCTAGTCTGATAAATCAACCCCAACCCCAATTGCAACCCCTGATCTATAATGATAATGATTGACGATTTGCAGCAATGATATCACCTGTTCATTAACATGTGCAACTTTCCTGTGTGCAAATCTTTCTGAAACACACATGTATACAATTTAGACATGTTCTGGTACTTGGCAACAACCGGATCTATTGCAAGATTATTATTGGCCACAAAACATAGGGTGTTGCTATTCCGGAAAATTATGTACATATCGCCAAAAGAATCCCTCAATCGACGGTGACTCAGCAGCCACGAGAAATACCTATAAGTGTATAAAATGAACACCGATGTGTGCGGACGAGAGTGTCGACAAATACGTGCATGTTTTAATGAATACGTGACATCAGCCCCTAAACCCTAAGGCAATATCATTATAGGTGTGAGGCTGCTTTTACAGCATATCGTACACCGAAATCAACACACTAAATCTATAACACATACCTCGAAATCAATTACTCCAAAACTGTCCCAAAATCAAAACATTTTACAAGTATGTATGTGACTGTAAAGTCTGACACTACATGTACAAACGATAGTATCTAATTTGTGAACCTTAAAACTATCGGTTTGCAACAATGCCCTCCTCATGTCTACTCTAGTTGTGTGCAATGATTAATGGTCATCATCAGCGATTTTCTCTCGAGCCATATGTCTTCTCAGATAAAGAGGTCATGCAAAGTAACTCCCCAAAGTCGTTGAAAAATACGTTATTCAATTCGTTAAAATTTTTTGCATAGTTCTGTTAAACCTTATGATGTTCAGATATACATATGAAAAATATTCCTTGTAAACCCATTAATGTGAGAAGCTTACGTATAAGTCTGGTAAGGGAGAAATGAGCGCGCGCAAGAACCGGAACTTTTCTTTTAGTAAGGTTTCGTTATAGTTAAATGATTAAATTTATGCCACTGAAGCACTTAAAATCCAGGATATTCACCCCCTAGGGCCCCCATCTGAGGTTAGGTCCTATAGACCCTTGCCTACTTGTTTACGCACCCACCCACCCACCCAAAATGTCTATCATAGGACACAAAGATATATAAAATATAATTCCGATACGTAAACATATCTTAAGTGTTCTTATAATTTTATAATGTACAAAGATTATAAATGAAAGATCTAATATTACTGATCTTGACCTCAACAGCGATAGCAAACGTTCCTGAAAAGACTAACACTTCTTTACATGAGGTATAAGGATCATAAGAACCATTGCCCAGCGAAGACGGGAGTTTTCGAAATTGTGTTTACCTGATATGTTGGTATACAGAAGCTCTTCTTGTTGAGTTCTGATAGTTGCTTGATTAACATTTCAGAATCAACTTTGTTGAGCAGTTTTTCTCCTTGTTGGAATATGTTCCTAGAAAAGACATGAAAATACCTAAGCTGTCAGTATTAGGTGCAAAATAAGGGTTTGGAAAAGGGAAACAGTAATCAGTGATCGAGAGCAATGATATAAGGATATACTAATGAAAATACGGGTTTGGAAAAGAGAAACAGTAATCAGTAATCGAGAGCCATGATCTAAGGATGTACTAATGAAAACACGGGTTTGGAAAAGGGAGACAGTAATCAGTGATCGAGAGCAATGATCTAAGGATGTTCTAATGAAAATACGGGTTTGGAAAAGGGAAACAGACAGTAATCAGTGATCGAGAGCAATGATCTAAGGATGTACTAATGAAAATACTGATGCTGATATTGATGCGCGCGTGTGTGTGTGTGTGTGTGTGTGTGTGTGTGTGTGTGTGTGTGTTTTTAAATCTAAGGGCTTTCTTTTATTTGCTTTTTGTGTTCGTTTAATAACGATTTCTATGTTTACAACGAGGTAAAGAAAGGACTGTCTATGACCTTTGTTCCAGGTCCTCGCTTTTCGGATTGTTCTGCCTGCCTCTTTTGTCGTGGCTAATCCTGGATAGATATGTTGAAAGTTCAAGGCTGTATCTTTCGTGGACTCGACCAAATGATCCTTACTTTTTTGTGATATATGTATATGCAAGTGTACAGTCATATTGTTTTGTTGTAAAGTGTCCTCTCCTTCCTAGAAATTATTCTATGCCATACGAGTGTGTCACAAAGAGAGAGAGAGAGAGAGAGAGAGAGAGAGAGAGAGAGAGGGTGAAGCAATAATTCTCTTTCAAGTCTTTTTGAATATGGTTTATGGATGAATGAATGGCTCGATTAATATACGTGTAATTTGTGAATGGAAGAACGTGTATATTGACAAACGTTGAGTACCTTGTTTCGCCAGTAAAGTTTTCTGCAAGACGCGACATACAGCTGGACCAAGAGCTCACAAAGGATTTCACTCTTTTGTCAGCAATTTCCATGGCTACTCTTTCATATTCCTTGGACAGCTAAAATATAGAATATTACTGAAAAACAGTGAGTTACATTTTCCTTGAATATGTTAAGTGGGGCAATGAATTAGATTGTCGTAACGACCTGTTTTTGCGACTCTGTATCGTCTGGTTCAGTCGCCAGTTTGGAATTTTCAATGGCATGTGGTGGGCCCAATGAAGTTCAGTTGTTTCTTCCTGGCTCTTTCAAACCCAATATTTCATCTCACACAAAGATTTAAATTCTCAAATGTACACACAAATGAGTTGTTGGAACCTGTACAGCCAAAGTGTGTAATGAACTAACATTTATGTGGCATTGATTATAGTAATATCAATTATTAATATTATCTAGTAACACATTATCATATTAAATAATGTCGACAAATATAAAGGTAGATGTGAATGTGATGGCTTTATTTGTAAAAGTTGGCACGTGCAATGGTTGATAATAAAGATTGTTTACCGAGTCTATGTTAGTTGCTTGATTTGCATTCTCCTGTAAAAGTTTGATGTATTTATCAGAGTTTTTCTTCGCCGTCTTCCTGGCACTTTGTGTTTTAATCTTCTTAAACCAAAAATCGCTCTCTTCCATTACCATCTTTTCTAATCTGACCATTGATTTTTGGTAGGCCTAGAAAGGGGAACAAAATTACCATCATATCATCGGTATCCAAAAAAAAGGAATCCTTTATATTTATATAATAATAATGGCATATAAAGGTAAAAGAAAGAAGATAGAAGTGTATTATGAAGTTATATGTTAGAAGTCACGGAGCATCATTGCCAATACAACTTAAAGCAGATTTTTCATTTTAAAAAAATAGCATTCGAATCTTGTTACTTCAGTGTACCCAAAAATAAACGTCAAGATTTGTTTTTGCATATTTAATGTATGTATACAAATTTCTTTTTGAATAATTTGATCTATTTCTGTTTTATTGATCTCGAAAACTGCAATGTTTATGTTACACCTATGAATTTCTGTTACTGGTCACTATGCAACTAGATAGTCCTGGGTTCGATCTCTGGTTCTAGCTTGTATTGTTTATAGTCTCCTCTGCTCTTATCAAAGTCCTCCATTTAAAATCCAATTCTGAGCCGTTGAAAGTGCATGACTTCATCAAGTGGTATTTCATGATTTAATATCACAAAATTTGATATGCTTCAATAACTACATTATTTTATTTTATTTTATTTCTTCTGTTTTACACAACCTTTGGAACATGCATTTAGAATGTTTAATATCGTACAAATGATGCAGTAAACTAACTTCTCGACTAGTATGAACCTTACTGGTTTGTAACAACAGTTCTAAAATTGTAAAATACTTCAATTTACAAATGCTCCGGTGGCCTAATGGTTAAAGCATCCGCCTCTGATGCGGGAGGTCGTGGGTTCTATCCCCGGTCGAGTCATACCAAAGACTTACAAAAATGATACTGACAGCTGCCTCGCTTGACGCTCAGCATTAACAGGTTAGTGTTAGGACTGGTCGGCCAGGTGTCAGGATAATGTAACTGGGTGGGACACCATGCTACATGTCTGCGGCATGATGCCCCAGTGCTAGACATCACTATAAACTGCCACACTGCAAACATCGTAGCGATATGACTAAAAAAATGTTGAAGCTACGTTAAAAATCATAATCACATCACATAACATCAATTTGCAAATAGAGGATCTCAAATGAGTAATGATTTAATATTGAATTTCTGAAACGAGTTTGATAATGTCCAACGTTTGCGTGCCTTCGCTCGCAAAATTTCAACATTATTCAACGAGTTTCATAAATTTAATATTAAATCATTTCCCTTTGAGATTCTGTTTATCTAACTGAGGAGCCTTTCGTTTGTTACGCGTAAAAATAGCTACATGCGCATGTCGAATTTTTGTGTGCACTTTTGCAACTAATTACATTTAAAATCATATTTTCTTTTACAAGTTATGCTTAAAAAAGCAACTGTTTTTTCGAGTAAATGAAACAGGCAACTTCATTTTCCAAGAAAGAATGTTTATAGAAGTTTCGCGTTATGTGACGTAGTGTGATCTTTTTAGGTTAAACGAAATCGCTTTAACAATGTTGACACCTTAGGTATGTCAATTTCACTACTGAAAGTTGTTTGATATTCATGTGAAAGGTTGATTATTATATGCTCATCTTTTTATCACCGTTAACTTTACATTGTCAGAATCGTGCAATATTCCACGACCTTCATACTGTATTCCACGTGCAAAGAAACTATTTTCTAACGTAAACAAATTTTTTATGAATGAACTAAAACATATTTCATAGACGGCCACATTCCAGCAAATGTTTCATAGACTGACACATACAAACTGCTTTGGCACATTCCGCGCTTACTTTCTTGATACAATGTTTCAGATTTAACTATATATAGACGCTATATAGGTTTCTCACAAGAAATGCAAGTTATATATATATATATATATATATATATATATATATATATATATATATATATATATATATATATATATATATATATATATATATATATATATATATATATATAGTTCTTTAAATCTGAATTAGATGAGCCATGTGATGGGTTCTCAAGGTTGATTACACATTTTGAAATTGTACTGTAATTTTGAGTATATTCCAAGTGCAGTTACATCCTCCTTACTGCACTCAAAATGAAATAAACATAAAATTTCACAGCATCTTTTCGATAATTGCAATGGAAAGGCTTCATAATTTTCCCACATTGTGATCTGAATCATTTATTGACAGACAACAAACACGCATGCCGATGTCAACACAATTCAAAACATTAAATTGGCAGACACTGCTGGAAACCGATGCAAGTCTTTTCATGTAGATAAATCCAGACCAAAATCAAAAGATTGCCTTGAATCGACAAAAATACTAAAAAGTATTCATTCCAGATCAAATGGAAAAGTTGTTGCAGTGCGTATTCATCAACAATATTACTCCAAATTTCAATTTTAAGTAGAGCAAGAGCCATTTTCTTTCGAAACTTAGTCTAGCACGCGACCAACTTCATATTTATCTGGGCGGGGTTATGCGCTCAATAATAATGTTGTGTAATGATCCATCAACGCTTATATGTTTAGTTCGGAATACGGCGTACATTTAGTTACTTTGTTTCTTTCAGTGTGTGTGTGTGTGTGTGTAGAAGACAGTTTATATATTTAAGCCTTGGGAAGAATAAGAAATGAGCATATAATAAAAGGTTACTGTATTTGTATGTGAAAATATGAACTCGTTTTGTCGGAAGGTCGTGCAGTATATCCATCCGAAAAACTCGTTCAAATTTTCCCATACAAATGCAGTAACCTATAATTATTGGATGAATAAATTCTATATTGGCTTTAATGTATTTGTGACCGGATATTTGTATTATTTGACCTAGAACAGGAGACAGTCGGAAATGCATCACATAAGAAACATTAGATCAGTTAGGAGACACGTTTATGTCCACATTCTTCTATGAACAGAAGAGAGTTTATTTTCTTATATAAGTTTAAACCACTCTTTTAGAAATGCGGATTCTATGTTACCGCCCACCCATCACGTCCGCTATCAACTGACCAATACCCAAAGTATTACTTCTTCTTGTTCTTATTTCGGGTTTAACGCAATTTTCAGCTAACGATATGCAGTGCATGGCGCAACGAGCCCCTGTTGGAGCAAATTCGAAAAAAAGTGACCTTTTTCAATTCCATTTGGGCAGTGAATTCTGAAAATTGACACCAAAATGTTTATAGCATTAGTAAAAAGAAACAAATTCTCTAAGGTGGAGTCAAGAAAATGTTCACACGATCCCAGCCCGTCAGTAAAGAGGATGCTTCGCAAGAAGTTCATGGGCTTATATGGCCACCTCAGGATCACATAAAGTGATATGTTATCGTATTTTAATGTCAATAATATTAAACTACATACGCTATAAGTAAAGTGCACAGACTATATTATGAACGACTATCACAAATGTATTCTTAAATTTAAGCACGAGTTTTAAATCAATGAAAATAGCTGTTTCAGGTGTCTGCGGACTAATTTTATGTACCTTCCGTCCTTCTTCAACTTTGTCTAACAAACATTTGTATGGTTTCAGCATCTCTTTGAAGGAAGTTTCGTATTTGCTTAAGATAGCCTTTTCATCAGCAGTCTCGCTCTCACTGTAAATTAACCAGATATAATGTTATAGATGTATGAAAAAGAAGCATATTAAAAATGAAGAAGCTAAACATTCACGGCATGTGAACTTATGATGATCACGAACCCAAAGGTAGGAAGGAATGTAAATCGAAATATATCACCAGTAATTAGCAAAATGGTAAACATTTTTTTAAAAATCACGATAAGTAGTCTTCAGTGTAGATCATGTACTAGTGGGATAATACGCGACATTATGGTAGATATTTAAATAGGGCTCAAAGTAAGAAATGCTGAGAAATGCAAGCTAAACATAAAAGGCTTGCATATGAGTTTCTAAAATTCAAAGATGGCAATGAAAAAATCGCATAAATGTTGGTTCAGTTATGGAGATATTTATATATTTTTTTAATTTTCATTCAATGAAGGCATATCAGTCATGATAGCTACTCCATTAACTATTCAACGTTTCCTGCACAAACCTTTCACCATGTGCTAAATAAGTCCATTTGTGAAATATTCTGTTACAAAGAACTACCACAATATTGTCCAAATTCAGTTAATGCCGGAAGAGTTTTCACACCTAGCAGACTTCAAGCTTTGTGTAAATTTATACATTTTGAATCACTTTATTATTGTATCTACCAGTAATTAAATTAATGAAATAAATGGCAGAATTAATTGTAACAGGTTAGAAATGCAACAAATAAAACTGACCGAAGAAATGAAAAATAAAATATAAAATATATAGATCAAAATATCACATAAAATCAATGAGAGTAAAATTATATTACAGTACAGGAAACAATCAAAATAGAGAGAGAAAATAACAATGAAAATAGACAGTATCGATGGATACAACAACAATCTACAGAACTCCAAAGAATCGTGTTTACTCGTATGAAAACCTACTATTAACATAGAGGTAGCAAAGAATTGTATTCCATACTCTGACGAGCAATCTGTGAGAATAAAAACGAAGATAAAGAGAGCAAACATTGAAACTTTTAGGTACAGAAATTATTATATGATAAATGAGAAGTGATATAAATGGTACTGATCATGAAATAAGCAACCATTTATGTCGATACTCGTTGTTTTAGATGGTGCTTTAGTTAACACTTTAAAAAAGGTTACACATTGTAACTTTAGCACATGCGTAGACTACGATTTATTCTCACTAATGTTCTTTGGAAAAAAAAGACTTCATCTACGTAGGCGAACTTCACTAATGATGTTATCATCTTTGATGCCGTGTCACTACTACTGAACAATGCAACAACAAATCCACTAGCACCCGAAAAAAAAAAACCAAGAAATAGAATGTGATCAGCTAGAACAAAAACAATTTGAGAAGTATTTTTAAATACTTATTCATCAGCATACCAGATATTAATATTGCTACTCTTTTTATAAACAATTACTTCTTACCCTTGTAATCGAGTGCACTTTTCATATGACTAAATTCATGGAAGAAAAGATTTAACATAAGAGACAAAAATATTTTAATTAACCTCAAAATTCATTCTCTAAGAATGAGAATCTAAGAATATTTTTGAAAAATGAGTGGAGATTTAAGATTTGATTATTAAAGTCCCCTGGGTGACCGAGCGATCTAAAGCGCCCTCCTTTAGCCTGCAACAACTACTGAAGGTGTTAACTCATTAAGTCTGGCTCGATTAGATCGTATGGTAGTGGTCTTGAATCAACAAATGTTCAACAATTTATTATTATTAAAATCAATTTAAAAGAAAATGTGCATATTCAAAAAATTTATATTTTTTATCGTCTGATGCTAGGTAAACATTCAAAACAATTAGCATAATTCAGCTATGTTTTAGGATGTATGAATGCTTTTGAAAAAAAAATAACATGATAGTCTGCACTAATTGTACGAAAGCTTTGCTTCCATCAGCTCTAATAGCAAATGAACAAATTAGTGTTTTTGATCTCATCGTTTTCACGTGTCCAGCTATTATGTTCAACACGGTTTACGATAGTAAGTGGTTCTTCATTGATTATATTGTGATTGGAGTAGATCCTTAGAATACGTTGGATAATGACTGGAGTTATTAGTTGATGGATGCCGAAGTACTTTTTGTGACTGATGGCAATCTTTACAATGTAAATAGAAAAGCAACTATCCTAACAAGACTTTTTTATGTTGATATTATGAAATGTTGGTAAGATGATCTTGCAAACGTGCAAATCTTTAATTAAGATTTCAGAAAGAATATCGGCGATTGGCTGATTTGTTTTACATCAAAGACAAAA